TTTCTTCACTGACAAACCATTGATCCCAATTTCTAACGTAATTATTAAGATGTTGTATCTTACTTTTTCTTTGTAAATTTTTATTGAGGATTAAATGTGTGTTTGATAACTAATATAATGCGAGCTTTGTGTTTTTAGTACATTTTGATGGTAAAATATTAGATTTTAAGATACCTATTCCAGAAAGCCTACAGGCATTCAGGCGTAATGAACGGTAACCAACGTCTGGTTGGCAACAGAGGACGCTACCTGGCGTTGTGACACGACTGTGGTACTCTATGCTGAGTGTAATGATATTTTTCTTACTATGTGTTGATCGTACTCGTCATTGACACTGCCATTCCATTTTCGTCGACAATTGACAGATGGGCTGTCCCATAATCCTCCTCATTTCCGAAAAGCGGTCCATAGTAAGAAGTGTTATGTGTGTTGTTTGTAATCATTTCTTGCAACTCTTTAGCATATTCATCCGACGTCATATTTTTGACAAGCTGTATAATGATAATGTAATGATAATAAAAACTCAATGTTTTCTTCCTTTTTAATATTGCTCTTTAATTAAGCTGGGGTATTCAGTAATAATTATAGAAGGCACTGTCTTCTCAAAAGACTCAATGGTGCGTAGCATTTTAAACAAGACAGGATCTCCAATTTTAAATAGATAACGATATAAGCCTATGTACCGTACTGTATAAAATTATATAAAATAGCAATGCTGAACATAATATACGGTAAATGTAAACGGTAAAGATGACAAAGTATTGGATTCGAAGTGGGTTTCTCAGGCATCTGTATTTTTTTTTATTTCATTTTTCAGCAAAATCCATTATGACTAACTATAATTAAAATATTTTGGAATAATAAATACCTCTTCAACATCAACATAATCCTGATCACCCAGCGCTGACCGTTTGGCGTACGCGAATTTGAATGCCTCTACGATACGATGATACGTTTGAACAGTATCCTCTTCATAACTTTTTACATTGAAATTATATTCTAAAGAAACAAAAATGAATGGTGTGAATCATTTCAAGTATTTGTGATATACAAAAATATGTACTGTATTTAATTAACACTATACTATGTATGCATTATTTTGTCGCAAAAAGAAGTGAACCCATAGAGATTTTATATGATTTGCTACATCCGCTGTGATAGCACAACCCTTCTAATCTTGGACTAATTACATACTTGATCTATGAAAACATGCTTTTTATCAATGTTTGATCAACGATTGAGAGGTTATGAGAGGTTATCCAACAACACTACAAACACGCTGGTTGTTATTCAGCTGAATTTGTTTACATGTGGTATTGTTTTGTTTTCAAAAAAATGATGACTATATTGAAAGTTGATACGGGAATTACAACGATGTCACAAACATACTACACACATTAATGTATGATTATATCATAGGTTTACTGTGAAATAAAAGTGCAAATGCAAATGCAGCTAAATTTTTCGTGTCCAACGTATACTATTTTAATTGGGAAACTTTCGATTTGCGCGACGAGAAAGCTCTCTTGTGTTTCCACCATCTCCCAACAGGGTTTACAAGAGAAGAAGCTCGTGTGACGACGACAATTGCTGACGATTCCGACGACGGCAGCAGCGTTGATGGTGATGATAATCTAAATAATTATGCCTGTTTAATTATTGGACTACTAACCATCCAGGATGTTCAGTATCAGAGAAAGAACCGCACCACTTGCAGGTGGTGGAAGAGAAAACATTTGTAGTGTTTTCTCTCCGGCAGTAATTGTGATGAATGTTGTGTTCCGTTCCTTCACTGCATAGTTCTTTAGGTCTTCAGCTTTGATAATTCCATCTGTTAAAAAAAAATCAAACAGTTTTACTAGAAATTGATGTTTAGACATAGATATGTATGATTTTACCAAGACGCACCAGAGAAGATTCTCACAGCGAATTCCAAACTGTTGATCGATCTTTCTGGGACCGTGTTGATGAATCCATATGAGTATACTTTTGTGAAAAAACAGAAATAGATCAATATTATTAGGATTTAGGATAAGTTTTCAGCACTGAATAGACCAAGGCCTTATGTAATTTACTGGTTCGGCACAAAATATATGTTATTTACCTCTATCTTGAATATCTTTTAAAATATCCTTTGATAACTCTCCTTCATAGAACTCCTTTTCTCCGCCCTCTGCAATCCTCTCGTATGTACGTGCTAACTTTAGTCTGAACATTGTATCCCCCTCCTTTAGGATTCCGCCATCTGGGCCCACAAATACTTCACTGTAGAACGATAATTTGATTAATAATGGATTCGGTACCTTTTCCACCTAATTTGTCGAATATAAGATCTAATAGACCAGCCGAGACAGTTATACGTTTTAGATTTCTTATGATGTCAGCAGTATAACAAATTCTACAGTAGACAAATATAGGCCTATCTTCAGTTGATAGTCAGGGTTGTCAAGATGTGTTAGAAGGTTCAAGAGATCGTCCCTGGTTATGGTATTAAAAAAGGCAAATACGGTAAGAAACAAATAAAGATATACTGTAACACTAATCATAAGGACCTAACCAAAAGTTAGAAAATCAAGTTCCGATGAAATGTTGAACTTACCTTAGACTAGGATCTTCCTCAATGATCTCCTTCTTCGACAGGATGGCTTTTGCGAGGGCGTCAGTAACAATAAACCCATTCCGTGCCAGTTCGATACTTGGTGTAAACAGATCACTCCATGGCAAACGCCCATGTTTTTGGTGAACGGTCCAGTAACCCTTCACCTCCCCGGGAACACCAATAGCTAGTCCACCTAAAGAGCATCACACATTTTTAGATTTTGATCTCATTCTGCCTTGGTTCTGATAGATCTCCAAGACCCTTTTTTAACCGTTAGGTTGTAGGCCTATATTTCCATTATATTGTCTGACACATTTTTCATAAATTTCTTTACTATTTTCACTATTTCCATTAAATTAGTCGTGAGCTGTCTCGCACCAGAAGACGTCAAATTTGCTGCAAATACAGTAAAACATTTTAGATGGTGTGTTGTTTTTTTTATTGAGGCAATTAAAGTTTGACGCAGAATATGATCGTTGTTCTGGACGTTTCTTTTAAACAAAAACTGTCTGGATGATGAATTATGTTAACGTGAAGTTTTCTATGACGTGATCTAATAAGAGAGACCTAGAAACTGTCTTACCAAGAACCGATGCATCCGTTGTATCGTTAACAAACATGGTCTCATTGGCTAGTCCGGGTGCTTCCTCCCGGAAGTCATACGCAAATATTTGGCCTTTTTCCTCCGAATCTCTAATCACCATAAAACTGCCACCCCCGATTCCGGTGCTGTGTGCATTATGTAGTCCAACACACAGCATTGATGCGACAGCCCCATCCACTGCATTTCCTCCCTTTTTTAAAATTTCTCTTTGAAATACGAAAAAACATAGGCCTACTTATCATCAAAACGAATAATGTAAACATTTGTAAGAAAAAAAGTGTGTGGAGTCATTGTATAGGTCCAAACATAGAGACCAATTTGCAAATAATTTACGATTATTATTTTAATTTCATGATCATTCTGAAAATATACAGTAATGAAATCGATTACCTAACTGTTTATAAAGCAAAATGCATAAAGACGAGAAAGCTCCAACAATACTTATGCAGTGATCTACGATAGTTTATCGTTTGTTTTACACATATTAAATTTGTCAATGGTTGGTCAGATTTCGATATTTTGCGAGGGAGGCGTTTATTCAAAATAATGTTCTAGAGGCGGCGTTTATTCAAAGCGGTGCGTTTATTCGAATGAATACAGTATTTAAGCCTTTGCTTTTCGGGATCTTGCCCTTCTTATTTTTAACATGCTTATCAAATGTATCGTATGAAAGAAGAGATAAAATAAATGTACATATGAATGAATGAATTGAAAGTTAAATGACAGACTAAATATACAATATCTTTTTGTTATTATTATACATAATAAGCAATTCAAATGTGGAATAGGAATCGATCTTTTCAGTATTTCGAGCTCATGACAAAGCAGTTTGTCTTTATCGATAGTATAATATTTATTCTCCATTAGAATATGAGTAGGTCGTGTTGACATTGACATGAGGACTCACTTGCCTATCCTAGAACAATCTGCGTTATCTGAAGCCACTGCGGCGTGCTTGTATTCGTAAGACTCCCATTCACGTCCTATAATCGTCCCAATAAGAACGCCAGCGATCAAACCGAGGCACAGCAGAATTATAAATACAACTCTCCATGGGTTCACTTTAGTCCTGCAATATTATTATGGCTACAAATGTTAAATCTAAAGGCCAACTCAGACAGCGTCGGCCGACGCAGCCCGACGCGATTTGTTGTCGCGTCGGGTCTGTGTGAGTTGAACGCAGACGCGATGGTGTGCGTCGGGGGCAGTCGCGT